GGGATTTAGCTCAGCGGCAAAGCGCCTGCCTGGCAAGCGCAAGGTCGTGAGTTCGGTTCCCGGTACTGGAGAAAAACCAGAAAAAAAAAAAAAAAGATAACAAAACTCTAAAGCCACAAATGATACACATATTTGCAATTTAAGAAATTTAAAGTTTTAATTGCAAACGACAAAAAAGCAGAAACCTGAAAGAAACAGAGGGCGAAAAGGACCTGCAACATGTGACACAGGATCACTATTTATAAAATAGAGAAATCAGTAAGATCAAGGGAGAAGGATCCAGTAAAAATGGGGCCATGGACATGAAGAGGGAGTTTGTATAACTACAAATGCAAATAGTCAGTCACCGCACCATGATGTCCAATCCTACCCAAGATAAGACTCTCAGACACAAGGAGCTAAGTCCCACTCTGCCTCTTACATTAATAAACATTAAAAGATTTATATCCATTTTGACAAGGGTCAGTAAGAGTATACATGGGCTCTGGTGCTGGCCTAACTGCAGTGGCTGTCTTCCTTGCAAGCCTGAGGGCTCCCATCTACAAACCAGTGGTACTTTTTTCCTGGAGTTTTTCCAAGGATTGAAAGAGTCTAAGCATTTAGCACAAAATGAGACATACTGTAGCAGTCAAAAACCTTGACTATTTCAGGAAGAATTCTTTTGGAGACTAATTTGAGAATGCCTGTCAAGGTTTTAAAGATGCATTAAGCAATCAACCTGAATTTTTTTGTTTCAACAGACGTAACAGTAAGCCAGAATATATATGCTATCTTTCGGGGACCAGGAGGTACTATGGATGGAACCCTTCACACTGAGCTACAGCCCCAGCCCTTTTGTATTTTTTATTATGAGACAGGGTCTTACTAAGTTGCCCAGGCTGGCCTCAGCTTGTGATCCTTTTGCGGCCCAGAGGGCTGGGATTTCAGGAAATGTGCCACCGTGCTGGAATGCTCGTATAGTCCCAGGTACTCAGGGAGTTCAAGTAGAAGGATCACTAAAGCCTAAGAGATTAAGGCCCAGCCTGGGCTACATAGCAAGATCCTGTCTCAAAGAAAAGGAGGGTCTCCACTAGAAATTCCAAAGAACAAACGCAGAAATGGCCTCATTGGCTAAGGAACCAGTGTCTTCAGGGGCTTCAGCACAGTTAAAACTGTACCTTCTCTACTCTGTGTTTGACATGTGCACAGTCTTTGACAAGCTACTTTATTACTGTCATTCTCAGGTTTCCTGTCAGACTCAAGAAGATAAAATACATCCCCGACATCAGCCCTCGGAGGATAGTGTTGTGATCATTATTCCTGACATGTTCCTTCTTTTTCAACAAGGATCACATAGGAACAGTCAGCATACTGGACCTCCTCTTTCCACGACTTCCAGTAGTTATTAGTAACCCTGACATGAGCAGGTTCTGTGTCTTGGTTGGCAGGTGATAACGTTACACTAACAGTATCAGCCCATATCTAGCCTAAATGATCACCAGCCAGCACAAGCCAAGGCAATGCTCATATTGAATTACTAAATACTTATCATACCTATATGCAAATGAGTTTTCCCTGGAGGGCTAATTACCAAGAACTTACTGATTCAATCCTTTAATACTGTAAAGATTTGCTGAAAGGTTAACTCACTTGCATTTCTAATATTTCATGAGTTGAATCTTTTTTTTTTTTCAACTGCTATTGCCATAGTAGTCTCATGACCTATGAATTTTCCATTTGACTCCTTCTATCCAGAATGACTTGGGAAGAAACTACTTATAGTTCTCCACCACCCTGTTGATGTCTTGCAACCTTCACTCCTGCCTTTGAGACTATCTAGAACACAGGTCCCTATTTTTTCCCCCAATTAGTTAATTTAGATTTACCTTTATCCTATCTACTTCAGAATCTAAGCAACTTCCCCTAAATCCCAGGCCAAA